CCACACATACTGTACAAGCATTCACATACATAAATTCACCAATATTCTTCCCGTGTCCCCCTCAAATCAAACAGCCCCATAGCAACACTGCCTCTCAACTTCTCTGTCTGACCACTCCTGGATTCATAGACTCCCTCCTTTTGTCTCACTCAGTAATTGGAGTGGCCTTTGGAGACCAGCAGCTGCCTTCTGCAAGGATAAACCTTTTACTTTTAATTAAAGACAAATCAAGTTGCTCAACTCTCTTGGTGCTTTATCTTCCTAGCCTCTCCCTTGATCAATGTCTTTCGTTCTTTATGTTTTTGTTCAACAAACCTGCTCCCAAAGCTAATTAAGCGCACACTTTAGCATGGAGTGGATGCAGGCTGTGTTGAATTTGCATTTACTATCTCTCCTCTATAGCAGGGGGGCAACGGAAAAGTTTTCCTGTTCAAGTTATCTAAAACACTCAGAGAGACTTTAATTGTGGCAAGTGCCGCCACTGATTGCTGCTCATTTAGCTTTTACTTTCTTTTTTGTTATGTGCATGCACAAACTCCTCACAAGGATTATTATTTTCTGGTTGGATGCTAAGATTAAAGCTCAAGCTCACTCTCAAAACCTGAATGTTCAATTTCACCTGTCTCACAGTCAGCTGGTTGGCAAATTATTCCTTGTTCTTTGTGACAACTGAAATACAATTAGAAATGTCTAAACACTTCCTCCCAGGTGTAATTCACTATTGACTGACAGACAATCCCTCAGAAATAATTTACAAATTGGCTCACAAATTAAATGTAACTATGGTAGAACATGAGAACGAGGGGGACATTTTACATAAATGGTGGACAGACTGTTTTCTCAAACTGAATACACATTCTGACTAAGAGCTTGAAAATGCTCATTCATGAGTGAAACTGATGACTGATATATGTGCTGAGTAAGGCTGAATTTCTCTGACCAATTTTTTTAATTGAAAAAAAAAAAAAGGTTTTTCAATTAAAAAAATTGGTTTGCTTTCCTTTTGGATCAACAGCACCTCCACTGGCATATAACCTAACAGCTCCACACTGAGGGGCAGCACTGATTAGCTGGAAAAACAACAGATACAGTGAAGATGAAGTGGACCCCTCATTTAATTTCTCTGCAAAAGAATGTGAATAATTGTGGCTGCAGGGAAAGCTGTAAAATAACAAATGGCACCTGTAACAAAACACTATTTATTGAAGGCAACCTTTTCTGACACCACAGTCCCTCTTGATTATTTCAGCATGACACAAGCTACAATTAAAATGCTCTCTCTGAGCCTCAGCCAGCCGTTTGCACCAATGGCACGATTTCACTTCCCTGGGGATGCATCATTTGCCCTGGAGGGACGTCACCCACTGATATGAGTGTATGTGAGAGCAGAGGCAGTCTGACGCAATCCACAACACCAGAGGCCCCTTTAGCGTAAGTGCTGCAAATGATACAAGCAGATGTGTGTGAACTCGCCTTTTTCAAAGTAAGTTAATGCAAATCTAAAGATTGTTTTGGCTTGATAATGCATGGACATTCTTGTATTAAAGGTGTCCCTTGGAGTCTTTATTAACCGTTTGTTTACACTCAACTATTCTCACTAAAATATATTGTGTGTGGTCCTGAAGACCTAAACATGTAAAATGCATTTCCTACCTCATAAATATCTGCAAGCCCTGTTTTTATCTTTGAAACCCGTTTTGTTACATGGGCATGAATTTTTTTCTTATCTATGCTTATAGCTTCCTATATTTTAAATATATAAATTAAATTCTTGTGATGGTGGAAGACAAGATAAAAACAATATAAAGACCCTTTCATGAAGACATTACAGAAAGGGTAGAGGTTAAAAGTACCTTTAAAGCTATATTGAGTAATATTTTGGCCATACTGGGGAAGCAGACCTTCTGTAGCTGAAAACACAACATCTTACATATACAGTTTCTGCAGCAAACCTGTTTGACACCCAGAAATTTTATCATTCATTTGAGCATTATTCTAGTCTTCACCAACCGCTAAAGGAAACATCTGGCTCTTTATCTGCCAAAAGTCCTGCCGGGTTCACCAGTTAGCTGCTAACTTGGTCTCTCTGCTGCGTGGTGCTGAGCAGGTAGTGTGCATCTGTTTTGCCTGGATATGGGGTTGATAGTTTGCAGGCCAGAAAACAAAAACAATGAGCTAGTTGGCAATAACTGCTGGCTCGAAACCATGAGAATCATCTTGTCATTTTATTCATTTTTAATCAAAAAAAGATTTAATGTAGCTTTAAAAGGCAGTTTCACATTTACTGAGGTAATATTCACATGTCTAGCGTGTGTGCACTGAAAAAGTTTCTCGTCACTGTACTCATTCCAGCTCTTTTGGCAGTGAAGAGTTCATTTTGTAGCAAGACGACAACTGTTCTTTTGTTAAAATGTATATAGTCCATTAGCAGTGTTTTAGACAAATCAGGGTGGTACCCTTCTAAATTACTAGGAGCAATTTTTGAAATCACTTGTTTGTCTCACTGTCTGCCTTTTGCAGCTGGGTGAAACATAGAAGACGTGTAGTTTAGGAAGATCTCCAATCAAAACGACTAACTCAGACTGATAAAGGACATATTGGCATGCGAGTATAATTAGAAAGACCAAAAATACCCAAAACTATCCTTTAAAAAGAAGTATCTGTGCACCCCTTCAACAATAAACTGTATTTGATTTTACCATGTCATCATATTACCTACTGTTATATCTCACCAACTTTTCTGAAATTGGAGTCAGTTCAGCAATTCTTATCAGATCTCATTTCTTTTTCAGTCGATGTAATCTTCACACAGAGAAGTTACTGGGGACATTTTGATGAAATAAAAAATACCTCTCAAGTCATCTTGGACAGAGCAAAGAAACTCAGCGTTCACCGCATGGTCTTAAATTTTAAAATTAAAGCTCAATCTGAACAGACCACCGCTATGCTCTCAAAGCTCCAGACTTGAGCAAACCACAGCAATGGCCTGTTATTCCAAACCATTTTTCCACTGTCAGAATAAGAACATGAGCTAAATGCCAGATAATCACAGTGGCCTGTTTTGATCATTGTGATTTATCAATTTTAAAATGCACTGTAATAATAAAATGACTGAGAGCTTTAGTGGTATTGGAAGAAGTGAAGACTCTGCTGTGGAAAAATAGATGTTTCATGATAATTACCAGGTCATATTCTTAATTTTGTTCAGGAGATATCACTTTTCTGTCTTTTCAGCTAATATGAGTCACTTTGTCTCTTTAAAACAGTGTGATGACTCAATTTTAATTAGCTTACAATCGTTTCACTAGTTTTTAGTTTTCCTCTCATTTGTCTTTGTGCTATACTTCTCTTAGGGCTAATCAAAAAGGAACTACATGGAAAAATGATTCTGTAACTCTGAATGTTTTTATTTCTATGATAGCTGAAATTGAAAAAAAAACTGAAACCACTTGCGTAACATTAATGCACCCCATGCTGTATGCCTCAAGCAGGGCTACAGGTTGCAGCCGCTGTGAGAGAAAAGTAACGCACGGTGAAGTCTATGATTTGATTTAAAAAAAAAATAAAGAAGGCTATTTTCAAAATATCATCCATTATAGATCAATGATTATTGGAGAAAAGCTTTAAATGATGAAACAGTGAAAAGGGAACTAGTAGGTCGTTATAAAGTGCAGTTGTATTGTTTACAACAGCAGTTAAATTTAGTTGACAGGTTATTAATCGCTAACTATTTATTGTTCCAGCAGTGGGAAAATATGACCCTTTTCTCTGATTTATACTGCCCTAAACTGAATATATTTGGATTTTAGACTGTTAGGCAAACCATAACTTTTGAAGGCATCATCTTGGACTCTAGGAAGGTGTAATGTACATTTTTGGATACTTTCAGCTCTTTCTAGATTAAAAGAAAAAAAAACAAGTGAATCATTGCAGCCCTATTTCATATTGTGTTAAATCGTAATACTATATAAATCAATAACTTTTACTTTAAATGTGCTGCTCTACATAATGAATACTTTTACTTTTGTTACTTCAAGTATATTTTTATGCCAATACTTATGTACTTTTACTAATATAATATTTTGAATTAATGACTTTTACTTGAAACACAGTATTTTCACACTTTTGTGTTGGTACTTTTACTATAGTAAAGGATCTGAGTACTTCTTCCACCGCTGTGAAACATACATCAGTGACACCTCCATCCCTTTCCTTGCAGCCTCTCTGGGTGATGTGTCTCGCTATGCTAAGAGCATAGCTCAGTGGCAGATCAGCTATATAAGGTATT